TTATATATGAAGGTGATGATAGCATTAAGGAAAAGGAAAAGGAAAAGTACATAATACAAACCCAGCACGAGACGTGCTTCAAAAAAGGAAAAGCAAAAAATCAGCAAAAAAAGACAAAGGGCTAAGCCCACCAGAAGGCTCCCGCCCAGGAAGAAAACGGGAACAAGGGGGGAGCAAGCATCTCAGACAAGTCATTACATCCCCGCAACGACCGCAAACAACAACAACTAACGGAAAGAAACTACAAATCAGATGGATTACACAACAGAAAAACTCAACTCAATCAAAACGATTCTTCAATCAATCTGCACCTTGAGACTTATCCACTTTAGCTTGAACAACCACCCACTCAATGACCGCCTTGGCGATATGTCGGGCAATGGTGCTGGGAAGCAAGCTTTTGTCCTTGAAAATCGCCGGTTTTCTCTCAAGCCAAAGGTGCCAGCAAGTGGCATGGAGCAAGCAGAATCAAAACCATCCATCAATGGTGTTGGGAAGTCAATCTGACCAATTATGGATTGCCAACAAAATATCGTCTTGCGGTTGATAAGCCTCTCTGCATCTATTCTTGATGAAACTCCAAACTTTCTTGGCGTAGTCGCACTTGGTGAATAGGTGATCATCATATTCCTCCTCTTTACAACATAGAACACAACGGTTAGCCAGTTGCAACCCTTTTCTTTTCAGCAGATCAATTGTCGGAATTCTTTTGTGGAAAACAGTCCACATGAAAAAGCAAATCTTGGTTGGGATGATACCCTTCCAAATGCGGGAACAAGGGAAGTCAGGTACTCCCGGAAAAGAATCTGCAGTAATGCATCTATACATGGAGGAAACAGAAAAGGTCGATTCTGGGTTGGGAGTCTAGACGGGTCTGCACGGACTAGCAGCAGCATTATAAAAATCGCAGGAACTAATAAAAATGCACAAGATTCTGCCTCTCTCTCTCAGCCCCACCCCTCAAATTATATTTAAAATCAATTTCCCACCGCAAAGACTCACCTGAATGAGAGTAGATGTCCGCGATTTGGGCTTCAGGGGTAGTGGCGGCGGCGGCAACACGGGGGAAATCATCAGCAAGGATACGCCCAGGAGACCAGTCCAGCAATCAAACCAGAAGGAAACATTAATACCACTTCCCGGATCTATGTAAACATAGTTCCATAACGATTTGTATTCTCTTGAAATGGTGGCCCAAGGGGAACTTCCATATCCATTCTTAATCGAACTGGTAATCCATGAGGAGCACCTGTGCTTGTATTTAAGCTCAATAAGATGACGCCACCAGCTTGTGCTTTTTGTGATATACTTCCAAAGCCATTTAGATAGAAGAGGTTTGTTGAAACTCTCCAAATCAAAAAGACCCAGCCCCATTAGTTTTAGAGGTTTGTTGAAACTCTCCAAATCGAAAAGACCCAGCCCCCATTAGTTTTAGAGGCTTTGCATATATTCCATTTAACCAAAGGAGGCTTATGAGCATCACCAACACCAAACCACGAAAACTTCCTCATAATACCTTCCATCTTATTTGTTGTTGATTTTGGTGCTTTAAAAATGGAGAAGTAGTGAACAGATAAACTGGAGTATTTAGGGGGTTTTATCTAATAAACAAACAAACAACAATAGTAAAAAAAATTATGTGTTTTTTTATTTATAAATACATAAAAGTAAAGATACGTTATTCTAGAAGAGAGCAAACTTGAGTACTATCATGCATACTAGGTTCAATCACAACATGGATCAATGATTCATCTATAACATAACTCTATCCCTTCCACTAAAGCCATTCTCTACCCATTCATGCGCCTCATGTGATATAAATTTAACTAGCTAATGCGTGTTTTCGCTTCATGCTACCACCTAGTTAATGAAGAACAAAGAAGTTAGGGTACCACATGATTAATTGTGGGTTTCTACGAACCATAATCGATGGTCTATACCATCATTGATCTAACAACAAGCATTGATACTACTCGAGGTATAGATGGTTGATACTAAACACAATGCACATGGAAGATAAACGAGTTCACATCTTCGTACAATCTATCTCGAGCTAGCTACATAGAAGAGAAGGAGGTTACCACCATTGATGATGACAACATCTCCTTAGATGCAGACTCTCCTATGAAAGCTACTCGTGCAGAGTACAAAAGTTTTTGTGTGTTTGTGCAACCTTACTAAGCTAATGAGTCATGCCATATATTTATAGGGGAAGAACCCGAGTAAACGTGTCCTAAATTGAATAGGAAAGGGTCTCCTAATCTTTTTGGGCTAAGTAAAATTATTCCACAAGGATTAGGGTTAATGGCGGTAGGGAGGCAGTTAGAACCGTCACTCTTTTTCTTCGTTGGCTGGGCTCTTTGGACGATCTTCCTTTGCAGATTGGAAACTTCTTGAACAAGTGATAATGCAAAAATTACATGCTAGGTTGTGTTCCTTCTGTCATATTTCAGACCCTAGTACGTGGGGGAAGCTTAGGAGCAAATTTGGGGGCATTTGGAGGTCTAGAAGTGTAAAAAAACAGCAACAGACCTCAAGTCATGGGCTAAGACCTTAAGTTATGGGATGGGGGAGTGGGATAACTTGAGCCTCCAGGGGGTAACTTGAAGTTGAGAAAAAGAAGAATGCCAACAAGTTACGGGCTGACCTTCCAAGTTACGACCCATTGCATAACTTAGCCCTTTTCGGTCGTAACTTGGGCCTCGGGGGGCAGAAATCATTCCAGAATTCATGGCTTGAATCCCAAAGGTTACGACTATGACATGGGGCAGTAACTTGGCATTTGTTGCGTGTATAAATGCGATTTTACGATTTCTAGAGAGAGCATGGCTTTGGATCCCAAACACCCATGGGACGAACCCTAGATAGAGAGAGCGACTTGGGAACATTCGTGGAGCTATTTTAGAGGATTTCTTTGCCATTGGATCTCAGAAATCAAATTTGGAGATGGAGATTAAAGATGTAGGATTTCTGCATTCTCTCTCTTATTTATGGAGTAACTTCCCTTCACTTAGATTTTGAGGAACCCTAGTTTTTTGTACTTGTTTGGATGATTGTATGAGTACTCTACCTTGATAGTTTTAAGTTCATATTCATTATGCTTGATTTCATGATTCAATTATGGTTTAGTGGAGATTATTGATTCAGCTTTGATTCTATGAGAGGGAATACACAATTACGTCAATAAAGCACCATTGATTGAAAGTATGGGATTGATAACACGAGAGTGAGTTGTTTCAATGCTATGTACCAATTGAGATATTCGATAGAGGGAGTCTAGTGTAGAATGCCTTGATTGGTTGTTCTAGATAAGGATACGTCCCTCTAGGCATCCGACGAAAGAGGAACTTGATTGCTTTAATCGAGATTCAAGGTCTCAGACAAGGTCCTGAGTTCAATCCCCAGTGATAGCGATGATCCTTGAAGTAGCACCTGCCAATGTAAGACACTCTAGCGGTGCCGTCGTGGGGTAGGTCGTCCCGGGATGTGTGAGGTCTTGGGTTCGATGCCTCTCAAAGCCTCTTTTGGTGTTCCCGGAGGCGTTTGGCTGCTACAGACGAAGCCCCATTGATGCATAAAATTGTAACAGGTAGCTCATAGATTTGATCTCGCTCCACCATTACAAAATGTGGTGTGTGCCTGAGAATATTTTTGACGGGAAGTCTCTTGTATGAATTTTAGCAGTGTTTTCGGGTCATGTTGTTAATATACCATCAAAATCATTTTTGACGGGAAGTCTCTTGTGTATGAAATTTGGCAGTGTTTTCAAGAATTTTTATTTTATTTGATAACCCAGGGAACCTCAGCCCCACGTGCCGCATGAGCGACAGCGGGGCCTACTAAACCACTGGGGTACCTGCATACTAACCGGGGCTTTCTACTACCAACATCGGGGAGGCTTTCTGCTTTCAAGAATATGACTCGAATAAATTTCAAAAACTTGGCAGAGATTCAAATGCAACAACTAGCTATTTCATCATGACGCTCATCCCACATCACCTTTGTCTCGGCTTCCTTCTCACTTCTGACTTCTCCCTATCTACCACAACTATTGCCAAGGTCTCGCCTTTCACCTCCTCTGAACCGATTTATCTTGGCCATACTTACCAATCGAATTCGACATTGTTTTGTGATTAGAGGCTTTCTTGGAGCTTTTGACTCATTCATCTAAAAAAATCAACATCCAACTAATAAGTACAAGAATGATAGACTACGGCAAAAATATTTAACTCAATAGGTTAACTTCATTTAATATGCGAATACACGATAATAATATACAACTTAAAGTAGTCACACCTTTAATCAAATAAGTGCGATGAAATATTTCTTGATAAATATTAGCTAGACAAATTAAAGTAGTCCGCAAGAGGTATATATCAATTAAGTAATCACACCTTTAATCATGCATGTACGGGTTCAAACATGCATCGCTGCCATTCCTATGAATATCATATGAGATCGTTTGAATGAGTTATTAAAACAAGTTCTTCTGGATAAAATAATATATTGTGATTTATTTGCGGCATAATAACCCGTTTCACAATCCAATACACTAATGAGTTATTTTAACTTGTATTATTTTCAAATATCTAAAAAATGAGTTATTCTAAATAACATACTCCTATTAATTCTAAATAACTAATTTTTTCTTTCTTTTATTATAAAAAATACTACATGCAAGTAACTTACAAATTTCCTTCTTTCAAATAAAATATTTGTAATTCCCGATTTTCAAATATAACACACATATACAACATTTGAAATTTATATTTCGGGCACAAATACCATACCATAATCAATAACTCATCCATACGACTCATACATCTAATACTATCTATGGATGAACTTCATCCACAATTTCTACCGCTAAATTTGTAGATAGGTACTTTTACCTTCATCAGATATACGTATCTCACAATTTATACCCCTATTGGACCCAAACTAGTCCATGAAAGTACATATGATCCTCATACACTAGTATATACGGTGAGCAAACGAAGGAAAGAGAGAGAGAGAGAGAGGAGTTGGTAGTGAAGGAAAGAAACTAAAGGCACACATATAAACACAAAAGAGAGAAGAAGGCTTCTTCACACCCAGTAAGAAGAAAGAACTATAGAAAGCCACAAAAGGAAGGGAAAGAATTTCATGTCAGTTTGCTTTTGCTTAGCTTAGCTTAGCTTTGCCCTTCTTCTGCAGAGAGAAAGAAAGAAAATCGAAAATAAAATAAGATCTTAGAGAGGGGAAAGAGAAGATCGAGAAACAAAAGAAATGGGTAGAGGTAGGGTTGAGCTGAAGAGGATTGAGAACAAGATCAACAGGCAAGTAACCTTTGCAAAGAGAAGGAATGGACTCTTGAAGAAAGCCTACGAGCTTTCTGTTCTTTGCGATGCTGAAGTCGCCCTCATCATCTTCTCCAATCGTGGAAAGCTCTATGAGTTCTGCAGCAGCTCAAGGTATATTATATAGTTTGATCACAATTCAATTCCTTCCCACCACCATAGCTACACTTTCTCTCTCCTCTCCTCTCTCTCTCTTCCTTCTAGCTATCTAGAGCTAGAAACAAGAGAAAATGAAATCAACCCTTTTTCTATTTTGCTTTCTTTGTTTCTGGGTGTGTCTTGAAAGGATGGAAAAGGGGAAGAAGAAGAGAAAGGAAGGGAATTGGATTTGCTGTTTCAGTGAATGTCTCGGCGTTTATAGCAGGTTGAGTGTCTTGCTAGTATGTGTTGATGTTAGATCTGCAACTGGTAAACACTAAAATGAGAGAGCTATAGGAAGGCAATTTTCCCCTCTCCCTTTCTTCTTCTTCTTCTGAAAAAAAAAGAAGCTTTCCTACCACTGTTTCATAGACCTCTTCTTTTTGCTTCTTTTGTTGAATCTATGAACGTTCCAATTCTGTGTTTCTGGTTTCTCATTAGGAAGAAAAATATATATGTTGTGTACTAGCTAGCACAAAACTTCGATCTGTTTGTAGCTAGCTTTTTTTCGAAGGCTTTTCTCTGATGGACATGTCGCAGCTAATTTGGATCTTCCCTTTTCTTAAATGAACAAGCTGAAATTTTCCTTTATTCCTTCCTTAACATTTTCTCAGGATCCAAACAAACTCAAAGTCCAGTTTTCTCACCACCCTTTTTTCCCCCCTCCTCTCCCACCTCTCTGCTTACTTTTCTTCCATGAGCTTTCAGCTCTAAGCTGAAACTAGCTGCAGAAATCTGCTGATTTTAGAAGCTGTTCTCTATGGTTCTATTGCTTTCAAACCTTCTTCCTCAGAGCAAATTCAAGCACTTTATTGGTATAATTTATTGGCTTTTGTTTGGAAATAAAATTAGATGATCCTACCAAGTTTAAATCTCTTTTCAATCAATCAATCAAGAAAGAAATTCAGGACATTTTGGCTGCGGTCTGCTGATCTTTCTTTTCCTTCTGTTCTTTTCTTCCGCTTTTTCATGGCGGAAGTTCTTCTATATTTCCGTCGGATCTTGGCTAGCTCCTTTCTGGGCGCCGGCGGTAAATTTAAACCCTTATCCACACGCAAGCGCGGCAGAGATGGGACTGTTTTAGGGTTTTCAAGGTGTAAGGGAACAATTAATTAATTAGGGTTTTATATTTCCCCCTTTTTCTGTTCTCTTATTCACATCACAACCAGATTTCAATGATTCTGATCCCTCACTCTCTCTATTTTTCACACAATTTCAGATCTGAGAAACTTTTTTTCGTTGAATAGATCTGAGAAATTGATATGATGCATTTGAATGGGTCTTTGTCGCAGTAGTAGTACCACTACTGGAGGTTGAATGATGGTTTTTAGGGTTCAGTCTAATATCCAAAGGATATGTTCTATTTCCCTCTTGATAATCACCATTGTTTCTCAACCATAACTTGTGGGTTTTTTCTTCACTCTTATTCTTCAGAGTACTTTGAATTTATTACCAAGTCTAATCAGACAAATTTTTTAGTTGATCTAGTGTCTCATAGGATTAATTTTAATATTTTTTGTAATATATTGTGTTGATAAAAATACAAAAAGTTTGATCGGTTGATCGTCGATCTTTCTCTTGGCGAGATGACTTTTACTTTGTTGATTGCGTAGATCTTAATAAATAATTTAGCTTATATTCTCTTATATTGAGGGAAAAGGAGAAAAATTTAAAGAAATTCTTTAGATGGATGATTGAAAGTTAAATTAAACGATCAGTTAAAGTGATTGTTACTTGGATTAATGTTCTAGAGCTGTGAATTTTAGAAGATATCAACAAAAACTAAATTTACCCTTTCTCCAAAAAGATTGTGGTGTGCAATCAACCTTTGGTTAATTGGTTCAAACCACCTAGTACCTCTGTTCGATATGTGCTTTGTTTAGAGGCAAATGTTTAACCACTAAGTATTTGTTTCCTATTTTGCTTTGTTAGTTGCAAATGGTAAAACCATGCACCCTAGTATCTGTTCAATATTTGGTTGGTCTAGTTGCAAATGGTAATTGTTTTGTTTAGTTGGGAAACGGTAACACATTTATGTGTCTTTTAAAATCTATGGATTATTCATGGTGCTGGCGTATAAATCATAATTGTCCTTTTCATTTGTTCAGCATGCTCAAAACCTTGGAGAGGTACCAGAAATGTAACTATGGAGCACAAGAATCCACTGTCTCAGCTAGGGAAGCCCTGGTAAAATGTTTCTCCCTATTGAACATCAATTAATCTTATATATAAAGCTTTATGAGTTGCATCGTTAATTAATGCCTTGAATTGTTTCTTTACTTCTGGGTCAACGGCCAGCAGGAGTTAAGCAGTCAGCAGGAGTATCTGAAGCTAAAAGCCCGCTATGAGGCGCTGCAAAGGTCTCAAAGGTAAACTACTACTAAAATTAATCAATAATAATTAATAAGCTAGCCTCATGTTTGCCCTAATCAAGACAGGTGAAACTCTGGCTGCATGATCCGGTTCGGTAATGAATCGAACGGGATATGAAAAAAGAAGATTAGTATTGAATAAAAAGTGTGTTTGATCTGGTTTGATTTCGTATCGATTCAGCTTGTCGATTAATGATATTTATTAAATGAAATAAAAAACGTTTTAAATTCGAGAAACAGGGAGGAATGTATTGTACTTCGATCTTATCGGTCTTCATTCGAATGAGTTTGGTCCAATTCGATGGGATGTGAATCCGGAATGAAAATAAATTGCGTGTTTAAATCTAGTTAATATAGAATTATAGATACTTGTATATTTTTAATTGTTAGCCAATGCTTTGGAAATGGACTCATGGTGGTGGCTTCTCCTTTTTTTTTCGCACTTCAGGAACTTGCTGGGAGAAGACCTAGGCCCTCTGAGCACAAAAGAGCTGGAGTCACTTGAAAGGCAGCTTGACATGTCACTGAAGCAGATCAGATCAACAAGAGTATGTAATGGAAACAAATTGAGTAACATTTTTACTCATTTGTGGTAAATTCACATTTTGCATCTCACCTTTTTTGTTTTACTGTATTTACAGACCCAGTACATGTTGGACCAGCTCACTGATTTACAGCGCAAGGTATTGTATACAATCCAACACTTCCTCCTCAATATATTTTTTGGTGTCTCTTGATTCTGCCCCAGGTTTTACTTGTTCAGAAAAAAATTGGGTTTATCATGTGCAGGAGCATTTGCTAGATGAGGCAAATAAGACCCTGAAACAAAGGGTAGGTGACCTTTAGTTCCACGTTGTAGGTCATTGTTTTGGAGTGGCTAAAGGGTACCAAATAGGTTTGGGATGCAGCTGGAATCCGAGTTCTGGCTATTGGGGATTTCTCTCAATGCAGCCAACTGACCCAATAATTGGAGAAAATGAATGGTTTCTTATTCGACTTTCTATATGCTTTGGCAGTTGATGGAAGGGTACCAAATCAACAACACGCTGCAGTTGAACCCTGGTCCAGAAGACTATGGCAGACACCAAGCTCATCATCAGCCGCAGGGTGATGACTTCTTTCATCCTTTGGACTGTGAACCCAGTTTGCAAATTGGGTACGTAATTAATGTTCTCAGACTCCCTTTTCTTAACCCTTAACCCCTCTTTCTTTTCCAATGCCATTTCTTTTAATTACCTGTAGTTATGGTGGCTAGCTCTAACATGAAATTAATACAACTTAATTTCACATTTGACCTAATTGGCTACTAGGTTGCAGATTTCTATTCTCTGCTTGACAGTGTTGATGCTGTTACTAGCTGATTGTTTGTGCATGATGATGCAACTCTGTAGTGTAATTATTCCCTTAGCCATCACACTCTTTGCTGATTGGAATGTTTTGAGTGCAGATATCAGGCAGATCAAATATTAACGGATTTGACAGTAGCCACGGCTGGCCCCAGTGTGAATAACTACATGCCAGGATGGTTACCGTGACCTAATATGGCCCAGAACCTCCATTGGCTGGGATGCATGGAACGTCATAATGCAGCAGCAGCATAAGAAGCTTCATCTAAGCACACTTTTTTTAATTTGTCTTCTCTCCGAGTCTGAGTCTGAGTCCATTTTATTTGTTTGATATTTCTATCTCTGATCTGGAACAAGTTGCAGTACGCTAGAACTATCCTAGGGGAAGAAGGAAAACGGTTCAGCAAGTTGTGTTCTTTTCGTTGTGTGCTGTGTTTTTATCTCTGTTGAACAATAATTTTGCTCCACATATATATAAACTGTTTTCTTTGTGTGCCATAGATTTTTCACGTCGATTAGATATTTGGCTCCGCCACTAATTACTGCTTGTACTCGCCTCAAAGTTGAATCCAAGAATCCGCTTCCAAAACTACCTTGCGCTATCTAGGGATGGCAATGGGTCGGGTTGGGGCGGGTTTTGTCAAACCCAAACTCAAACTCATGGGTTTATCCGCCAAAAAAACCTGGGCTAAAACCCGTTGGATTTGAAAAACTCAAACCCAACCTAATCCGTTGGGTATCCGCGGGTTCATGGGTACCCGTGGGTTTTTATGGTAAAAAATTTACAATAACAAGTTTCTTTCAAAATAAAAGTTTAACATCAATTTTCTTATACAAATTAATCATACAAAAAACACCAATCTAGAGCATACAAGCAAACCGCAAATGATCAATACAAATTGTTCAAAATTAAAGATAAACATCTATAAACAATAAGATTAATTGAAAGCTTCTTCCTCGTCAACTAAGTTTCTTCACTCTCCACTTCATCATATCAACTTCATTCTAACAATTAAAAAGAACAAATTATACATGTCTCCACAAACATAAAGAATATTAGTTGTTTAAGGAAGATATATTATTTAGAATATTAAATATATTGGGAAAGTAATATATGTGTGTGGACGGGTACCCACGGGGTGGGTTTACCTAAACCCAACCCGACCCAGTGAATAGTGTAGCGGGTTTAAACCCGAACCCGACCTAAAACCTGTCAGCATAAGTTTTACCCGCGTTGACCGGATTGGGTCGGGTGGGTACCCGTGGATTCGGGTTTTGTTGCCATCCCTAGCGCTATCCCCTCTCGCGGGCTAACGTCAGGTCATGCTATGCAGAAAGACCTTGAGTCCAATCAGATGGACACTGCCTTAAATCTTAAGGTTATTGACGCCTCATTTGAATAACTCATATGTCTAGTCTAGAGAAAACCTAAAATCAGTATCATTGGCCTAATGCCTATAACCTATTACATGGGTTGAAGCACAATAGGTTAACTTTTTTGTTCCTAATGCGGTAACCTATGCTTAGCTCAATCAACGAGGAATTTTACAATGTTATATAGTATTGGTGCTATAGGTTTTTATCTTTATGGTACAGCTTAAAATTGTACTTTTAACGTTATGGTACAACTTCAGATTATACCTATACTTTTTGTACAAATTCTTTTATGGTACAACTTGAACTTGTACCTTTATGTGATGGTACAACTTAGGGGTGGGCATTCGGTCGGTTCGGTTCAAACCGAACCGAACACATGACTACCGACTCCCCGAAGTAGTGCATGGGTCAAACCGAATTCGAACCGAAATATATCTCGGTTCGGATCGGTTTTTATCCCCCCACCGAAGTTCCAGAAACCCTCATTCTCTCCCCCACAGCCCCACTTATCCTCTCTCTCTCTCCCACTTCTATTACGCAGAAGAATTCTTTCTTCTTCTTCTCTCTCTCTTTCTTCTTCTCTCTCTCCCCTCAGAGCACAAAACACGGCGGCGATTTCCCCTCTCCTTGCTGGACTCGGCGGCGATTTCTCCTCCCGGCGTTGTTGGACTCGGCGGCAACGGCGATTGATGGAGAGAGCAACACAAGTGCAGGCGGCGATGGAGATTGACGAAATCGCGGAGAGAAGAACCCAGTGACGGACGGCGACAACGAATGTTAGAGGTTAGTAGGGTTTAGATCCAAGCATGCATGCTGATTTTGGCTTGATTTTCTCTATCTAGATTCAGTAACTTCGTCTCTGATTTGATCCAGGAGAAAAAGAAAGCTTCGAGACTCGAGAGATTGAAAGCTTCGTCTCTGATTTGATTCAGTAACTCGCGTCGACGGTAGTCCCTCCGCCGCTCAAGCCGCCGTTGGATTTGATGGGAGCGAGAGGCGGTGAAGCGAAGTCGACGACGCGATGGGATGGGAGGCAGGTTGGAGGTTCGAGATGAGAAGCGTGTTTTTTGCTGGCGGCGGCGGCAGTTCAGAGAGCTGAATCGAGAGGCAGGGGAGAGGGAGAGGGAGAGGGGAGAGGGTTGTATGTGGGGGGCTGGGGGCTTAGTGTGTTAGGGTTTTGATTGGGCTAAGGAGTTGGTGGGTTTCATTTGGGCTTAGGGTATTGGGGGAAACGGATCAGTTTTGGGCTTATGTTTATGTATTTCGGTTTTTCGGTCGGTAGTTCGGAATCTCGGTTCGGTTGAAAGAACCTTGGTTTCCGAATTATCAACATTTCCTTTCCGAATTTCGAACCGAATAGAATAATTTCGGTTTCGGTTCGGTCGAGTTCGGTTTCGGTCCGGTTCGGTTCGGGTTTACCGAACCGGACGCCCACCCCTAGTACAACTTCAAGTTGTAAAGTTGTACCATAACATAATGATACAAATTCCTTTATAGTACAACCTAAACTTATACATTTAATGTTATGATACAACTTCAAGTTGTACATTAAAACACCAATACTATATAACATAGTAGTAGTGCTCTCAATCAACATATATAGTTTGTAGGCGAACTTTATTATAAGTATTAGTTTGTTTATTGAGTCCTATTTTTGTTTTATGTAGTTTTAGCAACAGAAAATAGATCCTCAAGGAAATGAACCTATCGTTTCCTGAGAAATAAAACTTGAAAATCTGTTTAGCTAAAATTTTGCCGAATTATGAAATTGTAACCTGAATGATAATATATTGTTCAAAATCAAAGTAAGAAAAAGTGAAATGCCTAACTAACAAAAATTATAACGTAACAATATTAAATGTAAAAATGAGAAATAAAATTTATTTTATTAGAGAAGAAATTAGATATATATAAAATTCACGTTGAGTTTTTTAAATTAACCCTAACATATTGTTTGGTATTAATTAATTATACAAGTTGAATATTGATCATATAGTTTGTGCACACTATCAATGATTGTTTTTTAATTATTATTAAATATATTAATTCACAAGTTTATGGTATTGTTGCATACGACAAAATAGGGGAGCTGGAAACAATCACCCCAAATATTAACTTGGTTACTATTCATAATAAGGGGGTTTTATTCTACGGTCCGTTCTATGATAGGTGGGCGTGGGAAGACAAAGGATAAAGGAAAAGAAAAGTAAAGTAATTTTACTTCAATTAAGTTATGTATAATACATGTACATTTTACTTCATATGTACAATTATTTTTATTAAATATATTAAATTAAATAATGTTCATATTATCAATTTAATTCATGAAATACGAATATTAAACGTGTTATACGGATTTTATAGGTGTTTAGTATGGGACCCATCAAATGGAATGATTTGACAGTAATACGAAAATGAGAGTTTGAATGCATAAAATATGTGTGTCCATATTTACTAACTATGAATTATGATGAGTACAACCTGATACATAACTATAGCAACTTTCTTTTCTTTGATAAGGGATCATTCCTATATTTTACTTCAGGGTTAATTGCAAGGTTGGTCACTGAGATTATAAAAAAAGTTCACGTTTGGTCACTAAAAATATTTAATTTTATTCGTAATCACTGAAATTAGTTTAACAGTCCAAATTTAGTCACTCTCCGTTAGTCTCTGTTAACTTCCGTTAATTGAGTCTGTTATTTGCTGACGTGGCTAATAGAAACGCCTTGTTAGCCTAATTTAATCCGAAAAAATATAAATCCGACCCGTCATGTCATCAAAACCCGCCATGTCAGATTGAGACAACCCAACCCGTTACCCAATCCTTCCCACCCAGCGACCCGACCCTATAATCTACATCTACCGACCATTCCTTCTCCTTTACCAAAAAAGAATCACTCTAAAGCAAGATCGACAATGAACTGAATTGCTGCAATTAAACCTAATAAACTACTCCAAAATCAAACACTCACTAAAAAGTTGATGATGGAAATCAATATCATCTTAAGCGAAGGCATTGACAAACACCCAATGCCAATTTTCACCAACCCAAAACAGAATTACAATTCATCTATTCTTCTCTTCCGAATCCCATCAATCGAGAGAAACCCCACACATCCAAAGCATTTCAACAACATATGAGGAATGTAATGGCAAACAAATCGTGAAATGGCCCCAAAGCTCGAAGGGATCGAGAAATCACCCTTAACATACCAGAAAAGAAGAAGAGGAAAAAGGAACAGAGGGGAGAAACGAAATGGAGATCTCTAGGATGGGTGATTTCCAGCGGCGACTTCTTCCTAAACCCAGCACTACTAATTGATTTTTGGCTGCTCCATCTGTGACTGCTGCTGATTTCTCGTTCTGTGTTTGTTGTTCTTGTTCGTCGACGTGCTTCATCTACGGCTGCTTTTGGGTTCGATTGCTGGATTCTGGGTTCGATTGAAGCAACGTTGGTTGGGTCGCCCTCCTCGAGTCGAGCGGATCTGCTCCGCCGCGAGCCTTCTTCCTTCTCCTCTGTTGGTTATATTTATGGATGACGACGGTAGCGGATATCTATGGAGGGAGCCGGCAAGTTAGCTCGATTTTTAAAGATGAAAACGGGAGGAAGAAGATCTTAAAACTTTGGCATCTGTGAACTTCTCTCAGATTTTTCCGAATCAAAGCACTACTCCTTCATCTTTCCCATCTTTGTTCATGCTTTCGTTAATTGCCCGCGGCCAATCCGAATCCAAATCCAGCAACGAGTTCGGCAAGAGCAAATCAAGGTAGGAGCAGATAAATACCCGGCGTCATACCGAATTCGGCGACGAGTTCGATTGGAGCAGACAAACCAGACTGCATCGATTTATGGGCTCGCATCAGGATGGGAGAGGGTGAAAGGAAGAGGGGCTCGAGAGACGATGGTGATGGGACTTGGCGGTGGTGGTGGAGTCGGTAGGGTTGCTGCGATTGGTTTGCTGGGGAGGGAAGGGATATAGAAGGAGATTTTTCCAGAAATAGCACTGTTTAAAAAAAAAATTCCAAAAATAGCACCCAACTCCGAAACATTCCAAAAATAACATCATTTTTGTAAAACCGCAACCCGGAGGTGCGTTTTTCGATGAAAACGCCACCCGAGGGCGCGT